CAGACTGAGCCACCCAGGCGCCCCTCATTGTGGTTTTGATTTATATTTCCCTCAGGCTAATGATATTGAGTCCATTTTTTCCCTGGTACCTTTGGTTCCTTCCAAAAATTCATGTCTTATTTTATTTCAAAAAAATTTCCTTATATAATAGCTTTGTTTTATTGGTATGTTTTTCTTCTTTGGGGACTCTGGTAATATATACATTGGCTCTTTATCTTCTGGGTCTCTCACTTTTTCTTGATATTTTTACTTCCTTTCCAAATTTACTTTTGGTTCTCTTGACCATCTTTAAATTTTTTTCCAAAAAGAAAATAATTTTTTTTCTCAATGGCCTTTATTGAGTTCTTCATCTAACCTATTTTCCCTTAGACACCATATAATTTAGTTTTCATATCTCCAGACTATTTTTTCCTTTCCTGAATTCAGTTAATCTTCATTTTGTTGCTTTCTTCTTTGAGCTTTTAAATATCTGACTTTTTATATTCTTTATAGCTGCTGTTGCTTGCTAAATGATATTTAATCCATGTTGAGAGAGCTGTGATGCCGTTTTCCACTGCTTTTTGGTTGTATTTTCATTTTCATTATTTTGTTCTGCAGTTTTTATATGGATGTCGGTTGCCATTTTCTGTTTATTCCAAAAAGTTTTGGATCCTCCTGCACCAGAAATAACAGGTGTTTCTACTGAGGGGAGATGACAGTGTAGCAGGCCTAATTAATAGGTCGTTACAGCAGAAGCTCAGAAGGCAGCAAGGAAGGATGATTTCTTAGGAAGGAAACCTCTGGGGGAAAATGGAAATGGGGGATGAATGTGAGCATTTAAAACAAAGTACTGGTAGAAATATGACATGCTTTTTTTTTTTTTTAAGATTTTATTTATTTATTTGACACAGAGAGAGAAGGAACCCAGGTGCCCCCAAATATGACATGCTTAATGGAAAAAATAAGGGCAGATACAATGAAATCTTTGCAGGTAAAAAACAATCATTAGCTCCGGGCTGCCTGGGTGGCTCAGTGGGTTAAGCATCTGCCTTCAGCTCAGGTCATGATCCCAGACTCCTGGGATCGAGCCCCGCATCGGGGCTCCTTGCTCAGCCGGGAGTCAGCTTCTCCCTCTCCTTCTCCCTCTACCCCTCCCCCACCCTGGTTATCTTCGCTTGCTTGCTCGTGCTCTCTCTCTTCTCAAACAAATGAATAAAATCTTAAAAAAAAAATCATTAACCCCAGGAAAAACAAAAAGCTGTAAGTGAAAGGAAACATACCATTGTATAGAACTCATCAGTAAACAATATTTATCAGGTCATAATGATATAAAAACTGTCTACTGACTTAAGTTATGAAAATTGTGATATAGCAAATATAAGGTGGATGAAAGAAAATAAGAAAGGAGCCAAAATAGGGCTAAGTTCTCATCCAACACAATAAAAAGTCAGCAGATCAGGTCTCATATTCATAAATTAAAAAATAATGTACAAGTACATTACTTAAAAAATATGGAAATAACAGAAGAGAAAGTTAAAGATTTGAAAATGAAAGCCTCTAATAAAGGAGATTAAGGGCAGTAGCCTCCTTTGTCTTATGAGTCTTATAGTACTACATGATTTGAAAAAAAGAGTAAGTGTATGTATTTAATAACATAAAAAACGTAATTAAAAACAATAGTTGAAGTGCTAGCTGGGAGACAGTGCTCTGAGAATTTGCATATTGTCCTTCTGGGTGAAGTGCACACTCTGAGCCAAGGGCCGCTTCAGTTTCCTCCACAGGAGGCAGATGTCAGGGAACCAGCTGGTGAAAGTAGGTGTGGCACCTCTCAAAGTATACCTAATGATTCTCCTCCAAAATGTATGCTTCCCTTTCCTCACATCAGTTTGTTTAGATACTTATGTGCAGTACTCACAGCAGAGCCTCTAACAGTTCCACTTGACTGGAAACTGAGATTGATATGGTCCTCTCATGCCGCTGGAGGCTATCATGTTGGCTGGTGACTGGTCCTGACCAGCAACGGGATAGACTGGAGGGAATGGCAGGAGGAGTATGACTGGAAGCCCAGGAGGTCTCCTAGGGCACCTCATCACTACCATGCCAGAGACACAAGTTAATGGAAAGGTACTATATCACATGTAAGCAGTCCCACCAAAGCAGACTCCTCAAGCATGAAGATTTGGTTCACCCCAGTGGGTAAAGAATTCTGGCCAGCTTGAAGGTAAGGGGAACCTGGAATGGGTAGTGGAGAAGGGAAATCATAAATGTCAATAAAGCTTCATGACCAGTTGCAAAAATGAGGATTGTAGTCTCTCCTGGTGTTTCTTTTCTTGTTGTGTCATGTATAAGTGTAGATCTTTAGCTATGGTCCTTTCCTTTCATCTCCCTTCATTTTGTATTTAAAGAATATGAGTGATGGTTACTTTTTTAAAAAAATATTTTATTTATTTATTTGAGAGAGAGAGAGAGCACAAGCAGGGGGAGAAGCAGAGGGAGAGGGAGAAGCAGGCTCCCCGCTGGGCAGGGAGCCCAATGTGGGGCTCGATCCCAGAACCCCGGGATCATGACCTGAGCTAAAGGCGGTCGCTTAACTGACTAAGTCACCCAGGCACCCCCGGTGATGGCTACTTCTAATTGTAGTCTACATACTACAACACTGAGATGGGATGATGATGAAAATTGGGGGAAGAATGGACCATCACATACAGATGTGGACCTGAGGGCAGAGAGCCTAGCCATTCTACTCCAACACTCTGGTTAGGGTACATGTGCGAACTTTGCCACCATGAATTGTTTTTCAATTCTTGTGATATTATTCACTCAAGATTCAATTTTGGTGGGACCACTGACTTGTTCTACTCCAGGTCATGTGCCCGTGTTCCAGCTACCAGTAGGCAAGGAGAGTTCTGGTTTCTAGTGCAGCTTCTACTAGACCCATTGGCTTCTAGTGTGGGAGGAAAGGCCCAGACTCCTTCCAAGACTGAGAGTAGGGGAGGCTCCTGCAAATTAGAAGGATATTCAGATGCTGCGTAGCCAACAGGATCTCCATGATAGTGTATGCTTTAGTCTGTCCAATGCAACCATCTCTCCTACAACAACAAAAAATGCACTCATCCCCTCCTCAAAAGAGGACAGCTCCGTCTCATGAATTATTTTATCTGCCCCCAAGCCCACGTCTGTAGGTGATGGTCCATTTTCCCCCTAACTTTCAGGGGATTTCAGGCAGTTCCTCAAAGGAAAGATTACTTTCAGGCAGAAACAAAAGATGCTCAACAGAAAATTACAGAATGTCACAGCTGAAAAGAACCTTGGGAGTCATCCATCCTATCCCCGTATTGACGAGGAAACCATATGGAGCAGAAAGGCCATGGAAAAGGTACACACCAAGCAGTGCAGAGTTCCAAGGAGGGGTAGTGCAGGACTGGTTGAGATAAGGATGGGCTTGCTGCAGGTGGGGGGGATTTAACCTGGGACCTGACACGCAGTGGGTGGACTATACTGGTCTTTTGCTAAACTCAGAATTACTTTTCTGTTCATAGTCTGTTTATCTCAAATTCCACCACCCATAACTTCCTTGTCTTTTTGAGACCTTATTTATTTGGCCTTGTTTTTTTTTTTCTTTTTCTCAAGTTCCCTTCATTTTGATTTGGTGTCCTGTTTCTCCATTTGACCTGGTTGCCTATTTGGACTTGGCCCGGTTCTCTGTCCAGCTGGGTGTCTTACCTGGAAAAGACCCAAGTCTCAGCCGCTGGGGCTAGGTGACTCTCCCAGAGGTCTTTGGGGTACTCAGAGAAGACCAAGGGTCACATATGCAAATGCCTTCTGATATCAGGCAGGTAACAAATGTGTGAAGAGGCTGGCTGTTAATTAATACACAAGTGGTGTTCATGGGACTTAATTTTTCTTAAAAGACAAAAGCAAATAAAATCAATGTGCTGCCCAAACAAAGCCATCTGTGAGCTAGTTTCTGCTTTTGCTGTCAAAAGTTTGTGATTCCTGGTTTAGACAAAACCTGTAGCCATCAGGACAGGTTCAGGAAAACCCGTCTTTATGTCCTAAACTGGTGCGGCCCAGGAGCTCCAGGAGAAGGAATTTGTAGGCTATCCACAGCTGGGGTTCACACCTTTACAGACCTGTTTTTATAAACTAGTGAGGCATTCGATGTAACCCAGATTGCCGAAAGTGCTGCTGAGCAAAAGGATCAGAAAGGAGGAACGGGTCTAACACAGGTTACAGTGTGACCCCCTTCCCCACCCCAGCCTGGTGGTAGTTCCTCTCTGCCCCAGGATTCCGCTGGGCAGTAAACGCTTAAGAGCTGCGTCATTAGACTCCTAGGTCTCAAGGCTGGCGGGGGTGATGGTGGAAAAGGACAAGCATCACAGCCTTCCACAGGCTGGCTCCCTCTTCCCCTTGGACTCCATCACGGATTTCCCATCAGACCTGGCTGCTCATAGAGCCTCTAAGCGGCTCCCGGCTCACTTACCCACACCCCACCCACCCTTTACGGGACTGCTTAAGTCCCACCTCACCCCTGAAGTTTCCCCAACCCCTCGGCCTGGAGACCTTCCCCTCCTGCGCTTGTGCCGGGTGGCACCAGTTCGCGCCTCGGTCACACGCCTGCGTGTTTAGATGAGAATGCGGATGCGAACATGCACAAAGGCCGTGGGACCGCCTCCCCCGTGGCGGCGCTCCTCGAACGCGATCGCGTGCCCTGCGCAAAATGAACGAATGAATGCATGACTCAGGGTGCGATCTACACGCTAGAAGAGAGCGCCCTTCCGCACAGCTCCGGGACAACACGCTCTCGCAGGACCCCGCTCGCCCGAAACAGACAAACCTGAACCGCGAGCGCGGACCGCGAGGGAATGACGGCCGAAGAAGATCCGGCCTCCCATAGGCCAGAACGGCACGAGGGGTGGGCTCCTTTGGGGGAACCGGTCGCGTATTGGTCGAGCCTCCAGTCTTAGGGCTGGGAATGACCGCTCCGCCCCAAGGGCCGCCTCCGCGCGGACGGGTGGGCGGGCCCGAAGGGCGTGGCAGGCTCGCGGCCCCGCCCCTGGCGTAGCGGGCTCGGGCGTGAGGGCCGCGGTCTCCGTCTGGGACCCCCGCGTCGGGGCCGCCGCGTCGGCTTGCTGTCGCCGCAGGCCCGGTCGGGGCGTCAGAAGCGTCTGAGGCGAGGTAGGTAGCTTTCGGCACGCGGGCGCCGGAGTCGGGGCTCCGCAGCCCCCGCCCCCGCGGCCCGGCCCCCTCCGCCCAGCAGCCTCTCCGGGTCTGCGAGGCCGGACCGGGCGCGTCGCCGGGCCCCGCGTCCCCCGTCGGGAAGGGCACAAAGGGCTCCTGGGGGTAGGGGCGCCTCGTGCCTTCGCCTCCATTTTGCAGGCGGAACGGTGGGTGCGGGGCGCGGAGGCGGGAGGCCGGGGTTGTAAGAGCCTGAGCGCGGGGAGGCCGGGCCGAGGGGGGCGCGCGTGTCCACGTATCCTCGCGTCCGAGCAGCTGCGCGGCTGGTCGGCCTCGGCCGCGGGCGGACTCACTTTCCCTCGCGGCCTCTCCCCGGGCGTGTGATGTTTACCCTGCGCGCTCGCCGGGGGCCAAGTGGCCCTGGGAGTCCGGCGCTTGCGCAGCTCCGCCGCGGAGACCCTCTCTCACCAGCTCAGGGTCATCCCATGGGAAAGATGGAGACGGATGATGCTTTCTTGGTGCCGTGAATGCAGCAGCTGCTGAGGGGAAAAAGCAAAATGTTTTGCTTTTTTTGCCTAGAAGGGCCACCCTTTCCAACTGTCATCACCAGAACTGTTCTCAGCAGCCTAGGGGCACATATATGCTCAGGTCCTTCATAATTATTTGGTTGGGTTCGGTGTATTGTTTGTAATAAAAATGAGCGGAAACCTGCCAGTGCCAGAGCAGATTGGACCTCACTGAGAATTCAGTTGGGGGGGGGGAGTGGGGCCTGCACAAAGGTAGGTAGTATTCATAAATACCCTAGTAGCTCCTAGATCTAGGGTGAGAAGGATGTTGTAAAAATGAATGACAAAATGTACTAGGTCAGTTTGCCGAGGGTTTGGTTAAAAAGAAGTAGAGGTCACCACTTCTTATTCTCATTCTCTGCGTCACCTGGATCAGTTCTAAGCTACTCAGTACTGAAAAGAGCAAAAGAACTCAGTTTCATCTCTTCTGAAAAACTTTTAAAGCTCTTCCCTACCCCACAGCTAATTAATCATGTCTTCCTTTAGGCTACTTTCTTCTGCCTCTGCTTTTACACATCGCATTGTATTGTGGTTTCCCCAGCTCCTAGCACAGTGCTTGGAACATAGCAAGACACTCAGTGACTGAAGCCAAAACAAGACAAAACAAAACCAAGAAAAGTAGTGTAGCCAAAAGTTGACAAAACAAAAATTTTCATTCCTTTAATTTGTTGGACCAATTATTTTTACAGGTTAGGGAAGCAGTTGACTTCTGGCTCTCTTAAGTTAAAACAGGCTTTATCTGTCATGTTACTAACTCTGGATAAGTTATTTAATTGCTCTGTGCCTCAGTTTCTTTATCTGTAAAATGGGAGTTATAGTAGTACCTACTCCATGGGTTCTGAGGATTAAAAAAGATATTGATATAAAGTGCTTAGCATAGTTCGTGGCTCAAAGAAAATGTTCAGGAGCTATTAGCAGTTATTAGGATAAAAATAAACAGATACTTGAATAGATTTACTAATACTAAGTATCTGTGTAGTACTTGACCCTTCAGGGTCTATGTGCCTTTTAGTCCTTATCTGTTGCTTGACTTTAAAAAGTCCTTAAGCCTTTCATGATTTCCCCCCACAGTGAAAGTATTCCATAGATTATCTGTGATTCATTCAGAGTCTCACCACCCACTAGAGATTGATTAAGTGCCAGATAATAATTTGGCCAAGTATTACAGTAGTAGTTGATAAACTCTTGATGTGCTCTGACACTCAGAATGGTCCTGTAAGAGCAGAGAAACAGATGAGGCCTGTTGTTGCTAACAAGAAATCTTCAGGATGATTGGTTCAGCCAGAGAGGCAGAGCTTGTGGAGATGGACTTGGAGTGGCTTTTCTCCTTATAACTTAACTCTGTTCTCATGAAGAAACTGTCTCCTGTCTTTGAAGTTATCCACAAACATTGTGAAAAGTGGAAGAAGTCTTGTTGGCTTTAGCCCTGTTGGCCAGACCTAGAGGTGGCAGATAGAACCCCTAGGGGATGTTGCCTCACTTCCAGGTTTTCCTGCACCACTTTCTGGGGGCAGGAAGCAGGCTAAGTTGTACATTTCCTTCCAGCTGTAGGTCCCCTTGACATGTCAGTTTCTCTTAAATTATTTGGAGTCTCCAAAACAAATGCCTTCTTTTCACTTATAACTAACACAGGAGAATTCTGGTCTCTGCTTCTGTTTTTAATGTAGCTACAACGAATCTTGAATCCTTTCTAGGGAATACGGTTCTTTCTGGGGACTCCTTTCCAGATGTGACATACTATAATTAGCTGTTAAAAACCTGCTGCAAGGTGTGATCTTTCTCTAGTGTCCTGTTGGAAAGACTTTAAGGACAAGGACCATAAATTTCCTTCTCAAGTGTGCCTGGCATAGGATAGTCATTCAGTGGAGTGCCTCATTGGCTCAGTCTGTAGAGCATGCAACTCCTGATCTTGGGGTTGTAAATTTAAGCCCCACGTTGGCTGTAGGGATTACTTTCTTAAGATAAAATCTTAAAAAAAAACCGAACAAACCACAGTGAATGGTTGTAAAGCCATTGTAGTAGTTCTTTCCAGTGTGCTGAAACAGGCTTACTGACTAACCTGGTGCTTCTGAAACATTGCCAGTCACTTGGAGATCTTGCTCAAATGTAAATTCTGATTCCAAGACTCTGGTGGGGCCTGAGAATCTACATTCCCAGCAGGCTCTGAGGTGATGCAGATGCTGCTGGTCTTCACACTGAGTAGGAAGGTACTAACACAAGTGTCTGCATTTGGTGTTTTTTTTTTTTTTTTAAGATTTTATTTATTTATTAGAGAGAGAGAGCACAAGCAGGGGGAGCAGCAGGCAGAGGGAGAGGGACAAGCAGGCTCCCCGCTGAGCAGAGAGCCTGGCGTGGAGCTTGACCCCAGACCCTGGGATCATGACCTGAGCCGAAGGCAGAACACTTAACCGACTGAGCCACCCAGGCGCCCCTGCATTTGGTTTTTAGAAGTACTGCTAAAAACGGTTTTGTTTTTATGGTTTTGGAATGAAGTCTTGGATTTATGATCTTTTTTTCTATTTATCATGTTACTCTATTTTTAACAGTTCTTATATTTTGTTCCAAAAAATGATTTGAGAAATCATTCCAAGATACTTTCCATATAACAAGATTTTTAATAGAAGTAATTGAGGCAGATAGGTTGAAAGAAAAGTAAGATGAAGTCAAGGGTAAGATTAGTACAAAAGGTGAGTGCCTTTCTGTCCTAAGCTTTTTGGTTGGGTAGGGTTGCAGATTTGTTGCTGAGCTTCCTAGTAGTCAAAGCAAAGAGGAAATTTTTATCAGTTTCGCCAATACCTTTCAAGTAAAAACAAACTGGCTGTTCAGTGAAACACTTGTTACCAAGACCAGAGAATTCTCCAGTATGTTCTCCAAAAGAGGATCCTTTGGTACAGTGAGCAGCATTCTTATCAGTAAGATTATCAGTCTTCATACATGTAACCTGACTGCCTCGCAGAAATCATCCAGCACAGAACAAGCAGTGGCTTGTGGAACTGCAACCATGGTTCCAGGGCCAGCTTGCTCAGACAGTAGGAGAGATTTTTATTACAGGAAAGCTGTTTTTCTGCCTTGCTCTTTGGTGGAAACAGAAGGTACGGTTATTAACACGTGAAGTCCTCAGTGGCCTCATAGTTTGAGTTTTGTTGGATGGGGACAATCTGCTAAGAAGGCCAGAGAGCTTGCAGTTGAGTGGACAGGGGACTGGAAGCTCAGCCAAGCTCCTTGTAGATATGGCAGTGACATCTCTTTAAAGGTGTTCTAAAGACCTGCGTGATGAGTTAAAAGACTCGCCTTGCTGTGTGGCTATCTGGTGGTCCCAGTCAGTCGCCAGCCTGTGAGTGAGTGAGTGAGTGAGTGAGTGAGTGAGAAAGCAAGAGAAGCAGCCTGGCCGCAGCCTTCCCACCTATATTGATTTACAGGGAGCCAGTGGCTCCTTCTCAGGTGCTGGAGGATTCCCTCTGACTTTAAGGAAAACATAGGGAAGTAGCCCCAGGAAGAGAAGGAAAGGGGCTGCTGGTGCTGGAGCATTCTGAGGATGGCATCAGCCTATTACCAAGCCATGGGAAACATGTCTACCCTCCGTAGCTTCTTCCTTTTCACTTGGCTTTGACCTTCCTTTTTACTTGGCTTCTTCCTTTTACTTGGCTTTGACCTTCGAATAAAAAGGTAGACACGGTGCTCAGGGTGACCTGCCCCACAGGGAAAGACAGGGCCGATGTGGAAGACTAAGGGGCTTGGGGGCTTCCATAGCCAGGGCAGGAGCAGGTAGAAAGGCAGTTGCTCTTGGCTGTTGACCTCCCAGTCTCACACCTCCAGCCACAGCAGTCCGGACCCATCCCACTCTGAGGCAGGCCCTGGCCTCTTGTGACTGTCCCTTTTGTTGGCCTCCGCTGCATATGTATTTACCCCCGATCTTGCTGCCTCCCACGCCTGGATTGGCTTCTGCCTTTAAGCTTCTTTCCCATAAATCTAGTTCCCCCAGAAACTGTCCAGCAACGCTGCAGTGTTGGGTCCTGCGCCGCTCCCTCCCCCTTTCCTAGTGGGCAGTTTCATGTTTTTAGAGAAAGAGCAGTACTAAGAGCTTCTTTGTCTGGTTCTCTGGTCAGATTCTGCCACTACGTGTGCAGTGTTCACCACCTGTACCTGTGGGCTCCTGTGAAAACACGGGGAGTTTGAAGCATTTGGCCCCTGAACTGGTAGGGCTTGCTCTGTGAAGTAATACCTGGCCCATGTAGCTGCTGCGGGTGGCCAGCTGTGTGCTTGGCGACAGAGATGGGCCTTGCCCCAACGCAGCATCCCTGGCAAAGCTGGTATAAATCAGATTATTTCGTAGGGAGGTTGTGATTTAACAAATCCTGGAGATAGTCCTTTTTTTGATCAGAAGAGGATTGCTCCCTGGTTGATCATTCCTCTCCGAATGGTTTAGTTAGGAGA